TTCATTTTTTTTTTTTTTCTTTTTTTTTGTTTTTTGTCTTTTTTTTTTTTTGACTGTGTTTTTCATGTACTGTACGCTTATAGTTCTTCCCCCCCCCTCCCCTTACCATCCCCCCCCCCCCCCCCGATTTCCCCTACTTCCCCCCCAGCCCTCCCCCCCCCCGCACCCCCCGTGTGCCAAAACCTATCCCGAGGCTATTCTACGTCTTGGTTTTCGGCTGTCTCGCTCCGTGTTTTAGGTTATTGGGCCTCCAGTGCTAAAAGATAGCTCTCTGGAAGGTCAGGGTCCCTGTCCCCCTGTGAGGCATCGCGGGGCGGCGGGGTGGGGTTGGCATGTGGCCTTCTGCCGGACCGATCTACCTCCGGCTGACCGCAGCTGGCCACTGGCTCGGCAGTGCGTGGCCCAGGTGCCGGTTGCGCCAGCTGCGGGTGGACATCTTCGGGAGCGGAAAAGAGGGGGGTGATGCCTAGGGGGGGGTGGATTTCACGGCGCGGGCCATGATTTTTCCTCAAATTTCGTGGCGCCTCTTCTTATTCCACTGCGTCCCAGGCCCCCCCGCTGGGCCGCGCACATGCCGCCGGTCATGATTTGCACCCCCCCCTCTTGGACACCCCCCTCTTGGTCGCTCCCGATATCTTAGAGAGCCAGAGCCGAGGCCGCCTCCCAGCCTTCCAAGAAGAGCAAGGGGAGGAGCGGCCGCTGACGCCCAAGGGCAACATTCCTTTTCCCGACTACGACCGTTGCAGAGATCTTTTTGTGTTGACCAAGTTGCAGCAGTACATATTGAAGAAATTCGTCCGCAGCTCGCGGCATACCGCCTCGGTGCGCTCGCGAAGCGAACGCAGACGCAAGACTCCACCCATTGAGGACTTGCTTGACGCCGCCGCAGAAGTCCTGATGGAGCTTTGCACTGTCGTGGTGTGCCACCTCAACGGCTCGTACCCTGATTCCGAAGGCGCAGCCGGTAAGCAGTCCAAGATGTTGCGCATGATCACCTGGAATCCACAGAAGGTGCCTGGACAGAGTCCCCGGCGCTTCCGCCCATTCAGCCTGAGAGGTGCACACAGTGGCAGCATAATGCAGCGAGGAAGCGGGAGCGAGCACACCTCAGACACATTGCCATCCACACTAGATCCCACACCTTGGGACGGCCCGACCAGTGCCAAGGATTCGCAGCAGTTGTGGCATGCCGTGAGGAAACAGAGTCTGAGCGAGGTGCAGGAGGAATTGCTGAAGATTGGGCAGCAATCCCAGGGCGAAGACCCGTCGTGGACGAGCCGGGTGCTGGAGCACCGCCGCAGGTTTCGGTACCCAGGCAACCCCAAGCCCCTCACCGGCACCGTGCTGCTCTTGGCGCTCCAGGAGCTCGACGAGGCGGTGATGAGGGCGGACATGTTCGACGACACCGCGATCAAGATATTCAAAGAGCTCGTGAGCAGCGGAGCCGATCTCGAGGCGATGTACAAGGTTGAAGAGTGTGGCAAGGCTCGGGCGGTGTTGACGGCACCGCTCTGCTTCGCCGCGCGCAGCGCGCAGACGCTTCAAGTGTTGAAAGACTTCAGCGTTTCATTCGGAGTCAGATCTAGGATCAACTACTACAGCCATGCCACAATACTGTGGCAGGCCACATGGATGAGAAATGCGGACATGGTGAGATTCCTGCTGAATGAAGAGAGATATGACAATCTCCGAAGTGGGAAGCACTTGTACGAATTGACCCGTAAGAAAGGCTGCGAACTCGAACCCGCCAGAGTCTTGCAGTGGGAGAGTGCCGAAGACGCCAAGCACAAGATAGAAACAGCCGAGACGTCTAGTACACCTCACAAGGCCACTTCCGTTTTATATTGCGAGAGAAACGGCGACTATGATGTTTGGAACATAGCGTACTCAGACAGCCATCGTAGCGTGACGACGTTGATTTGCCAATCCGAGGACAAGCACAATGGGTTGCCAGTGCGTTTTCGTGATTTCTGCGTCGCTTACAATTGGCAAATCCGAGGTCAACGGCACCACAGAAGGTGTTCTCCCAACACATGCTGCAAGACACACAAGAGAATACCAGACGAGATATTCGAGCGGCCACCCCTTACTGGGTGGATTGAACACGGAGGTGGTTCAGACAGCAGAAACGCTTACGAGGTAAAGAGCACTAACTTGTTCAAAGGTTGGCATCCGGATTTTCCTCCTCCGGCCAGTGGCAAGGACAGACAGTGTTCGGCTTTAGGACTGGCAGTCTACCACGACATAGATTGTGTCCCAGAGCTCTTGAGCTATGGCTTTGAGATCGATCTTGACGAGTTGAACGCAGCCATCAAATCGGGGAGCGCTCGAAATTTCCTTACCCTTTTTGGCACCGCCGCGAAGACAAGTCCCGACATTCTTTTAAAGTTGCCGCAGCACACTATCGAACAGTGCCACCCGACGCTATTGGAGCGCATGTGGGCAGAGCTACAGGATGACCCTGAAGTGAAATGGAAGCTCCAGAAGACAGTGCGGAAAGTCATGGAAGGTCCGCATGAGATCAAGCAAGAAGCAAAGAACATGGTATTGAATTTCGTCCGGCACGCCCCGCAGGCTGCTGCCATATTGCTGGACAGCTTCTTTTTGCAGATACCCAAGGCCACATCTGCGAATCGCAATCCTATTCCCGTTCATGCGTGGATTCATGCGAAAACAGGAATGAACACGGCATACGTAGCAGATTCGACATGGAATTTTGATTCTGAGACATTACAGCCACCTTCGTGGCATAGCGATCTCATCCGCGACCAAGTGAAGCGCGACGCTACCCGCTGGCCGAGCTCGCGTAGCAGTCTGGGCAGGAGCCATCGGTCCTCATACCAGGTCCAGATGTGCGACATCAAAGTGGTGAACTTCCGGGGGATACTGTCGCTGGACCTCTTCAGGTCGCTATGCGATCTGAGGTACCAGCAGCAGGTAGACTTGTTGGATAGTTGCGTCACGATGCAGGCAGTTGTCTGTCACACGTGGCGAAAGTGGGCTCTGAAGTACCACAAGCTGCTGCTCGTGGAGGAGGCCGTCCAGTTCTTGGCTCTGCTCGCTTGGGGGATGTCCCCCGACCAGGATAGTATACTCTTCTCGTGCAGCTGGACGATGTTCTGTTTTATCGCGTTTGGACGGCTGATGCAGGACGTGTCCATGTGTTGTTTGAATCTTGTGTATCGGGCTGCTTGCGGCAAGTCCCGCAACTGTTCCAGAGCTCGTGTCAGGAGGCTCGGGGGGCAGTATTTTATACATTATAGATATGTATATATATATATATATACACATATATGTATACACATATATATATATATATATATACACCTTCCTTTGCGTCGTGTCCGGGATGCTCGCCTCATCTTCGGTTCACTCCTCTCGTCCTCTGTCTTGTCTGGGGATCTTGCGGGCCAGTCTTGGGGGTCTGCTGTGGCCCCTTTTGGCAGCTTTGGGGCCCTCTTGTCCGACGAAGGCATCTATACACCACCACCGTGCCAGGCCAGGGCCATCCTGGGCCCCAGGATGGTGTATAGACCCTCTTGGCCTCGGCCAGGAGGGCGCATACACAATCCTGGGGCCCAGGATGGCCCTGCCTTGGCAAGGTGGTGGTGTATAGCTGCCTTCTGCGAATCTTGAGGTGCCTTGGGGCCGCCTGGGGGGCTCTCCTGCGGCCGTCTCTGGGCCGTCCGGGGCCGTCGGGGGGCTCCGCGCGAGGCCGCCGGCCGTGGCCTTTTTTCTTTTTTTTTTTTATTTTTTTTTGTTTTTTTTTTTTTTGTTTTTTTTTTTTTTTTTTTTTTTTCTTTTTTTTTTTATTCTTTTTTTTTTTGTTTTTTTTTTTCTTTTTTTTTTTTTTTTTTTGTTTTTTTTTTTTTTTTTTTTTTATTTTTTTTTTTTTTTTTTTTTTTTATTTTTTTTTTCTGTTTTTTTTTTTTTTTTTTTTTTTTTTTTTTATTGTTTTATTTTTTTTCTTTTTTTTTTTTTTTTTTTTTCTGGCGTGGATTTATATTTTCTTTCTTTTGTTTTTTTTTTTTCTTTTTTTTTTTCTTTTTTATTTTCATTTTTTTTTTTTTTTTTTTTTTTTTTTTTTCTTTTTTTTCCTTTTTTTTTTTTTTTCTTTTTTTTCTTTTTTTGTGTTTTTCTTTTTTTTTTTTTATTTTTTTTTTTCTTTCTTTTTTTTTTTTTTTTTTTTTTTTTTTTTTTTGTTTTGTTTTTTTTTTTTTTTTTTTTTTTTTTTTTTTTTTTTCTTTTTTTTTTTTTTCTTTTTTTTTTCTTTTTTTTCTTTTTTTTTTTTTTTTTTCTGGCGAGGCGACTCGTGTTCGGGGCCCGCGATTTGGGGCGCTCCTGGGGCCGTCTTGGGCCGCACCTGTGGGCTTCCTCCCTCGAGGAGGAGGGAGAGGAGCAGGAGGAGGGAGGAGGAGGAGCGCCCTTCCTTGGGCCGTCTGAGGACCTCCTCGGAGGACTTTGAGCCCCATATGGCTCTCTTTGGGCCGCCTCGGCGCTGGCCGTCTTTCGGCGGCGAACGAGGGGGGGAAGTGAGGGGAGTGAGAAGAAGAAGGCCTTCTCAGAAGGCGGCGGGGCTTCTCAGAGGCTCTCGCGCCTTCTGAGAAGTTTTTGTTGTATCTTCGGTCAAAGCGTGGAGAACTTCTCAGAAGGTCGCGGGACTTCCGAGCCTTCTGAGAAGGCCTTTCTCTTCTCAATTGCCCCCTTCGCTCGCCGCCGATTTGTGGCCTGCCTCGACCGCCTTGGGAGCCGTGGAAGCCGTAGCCATGTTTGTTGCCAGGGAACGTGGCCTCAGTTGCGAGGATCCACCGTTCCTGTGGCGGGAGACTGTGGTCTCGGGAGTGGATCCATAGTTCGTGCTACAAGCGATCGTGCCCTCGGGGGCGGTGGCGGTCCACGCGAGAGTGCGAGACTCCGCTAGAGAATATTACAGAAAGTCCGACCAGACAGCCCTTGGCATTCTTCCACGCCTCAGCGTGCCAGGGGGCACAGTGGCGGACATGCTGCGCCAGTGGCCAAACATTGCTGTCACCAGCTTGGGCGATGTGCTCAACTGGTGGGATGTTCCAAGCCACGTGTTTTCGGTCTACCTGGTCTCGACGTTCTGGACAACTATCTACACGGTCGAAGACGGCTTCCAGAACACGCGGGACAGCGCCAATCACTTGTTTTGGCTGGGCGTCGGGACTGTCCTGAAAGGCTCCGCTGTCGCACACAGGCTGCAGACTACGAGCACGGTCGGCCACCTGCTCATCCCGATCCGGGATGTCTTCCGGGACTCTTTCATAACGGCCATGCTTGTAGTCCTCGTCGTTGTCGTGTTTGTCTTCATGGCGTTCGTGTACATCGCTTGGAAGGGGGCCGCGGCAAGCGAGGCCAAGGCGGCAATAGTGGACACTTGGGTCAACCTCGTGATCGGAGAGCCGGTGATGCTCACGGGGGGCGACCCCGATGAATTCGAGCGCCCTTGGTCGCAGTATGTGCTCGTGAGCGTCACTCACCTAGCATTCACCATAGCGCTGCTGAACGTGCTGATGGCGATCACGATGGAGACCTACCGCGGGATGGGCCTGAAGGCGCACAGCAGGTTCCTGCGAGCGCGGGCCGAGCTCTGCCGCATCACGCTGTGGAAACGCAGGGTGCTGCTGACCGTCTTCTGCAACTGGCTCAACCTGAGCGTGGGCAGGGCCCTGCACGCGCTGTTTGCCTGCCTGGTGGTCTCCTCCGCCGTGCTCCTGATGACGAGCGTGCGGCTGGTGGTCGGCCTCCTGCTCTGTGGCGGCGGAGCGGAGGTGCTCCTGACGCTGCTGGTGCTGGTCGCCGACACCCCCGTCAAGCCGAGCGGGCGCGTCCAGGACAAGTGGTGGATCGAGCAGCACTACCTCTGGGTGTGCACGCCCCGCGAGGAGCCGTGGGCGAAGCACCCACGCACGAGGGGCCAGTCTTCCACCACCGCCACTAGATGCAGGACGGGGGAGAAATGAGGATGGGGAGGTCTTTTTCATCTCCTCCTCCTCCTCCTCCTCCTCCTCCCCATCCTCCTCCTCCTCCTCCTCCTCCTCCTCCTCCTCCTCCTCCTCCTCTTCCTCCTCCTCTCTCTGCTGCCTACGGCAGTGATGGTGGAGCATCGGCCCCGCACACGCACCCGTGGCCGCGGCTTCGCGGGCCAGGACCTCGGGTTGCGGACGCCCTGCGCGTGGACGGACCCGTGCGACCGCGTGTCCGCGGGATCGCGCCCCGGAGCCCAGACCGCGAGGGCGCAGATGCTTACCAGCCTGGAACATAGCCCTATCCCTAAGATTGACACGCCAAACGGCGATGACAATCTTGGGGATTCGCCATCAAAACATAAGGGAATCCCTAAGATTGGCCTCGTGATGAGGAGGTGCCCAGCATCGGGATAGGGACATGCTCCAGGCTGGTAGAATGCGGGCAGGCTCGCCGCTCGCGCGGGGCCTTCTCGGACGACGAGGGGCTCCTCCCGGGAGAGCCCCGCGGCCTGCCGAGGAGCCGCACCCGTCCCGGGACGACGGCTCCGCAGGTTCTCCGTGGGCGCGAGGGCCTCTGAAAGGCCCCGCCGCGGCCCCCCCCCCTCTCGGACGCCAGGGGCTGGACCGAAGCGGTGTCTCGGCGATGTCGTGGACCGTCTGCGTTCCGACGTCGTTTCGCGGTCGAGGCGGATCGAAGACAAGACGAGGGAGGACGACAACACAGCGGCAAAACGAGCAGCACCGTCGAGGTGCAGCCCCCTCGGACGCCTGGAGGTTTTTGGGGGTCAGGCCTCGGCCCTCTGGCGGCCGCCCGGGGCCGCGCGGGCCACCCCCCCCCGCAGGCGCCGGGCGAGGCGCAGCTGCGGCAGAGCACCCCCGAGGCCGGAGAACCGCCAGCAAGCTCGGGCGGAACGCCCAAGGGCTTGGATCTTTGTTCGACACGCGCGATATGGGTGCAGAAAGAATGGGTACAATGCCCAACAGCAGTTCCGGTTCCTTCTGAACAGGGCTCGCTGTCCGCGCCGCCGCGGCCCGTGTCCATTTGAGACAGGAGGCCGCCTGCCGAACAGCGGCCGCTGTTGGTTTGGGACAACATTTGTTGTTGGGCATTGTGCCCATCTTTTCCGTACCCATCTCGGGCGTCCAAATTTGTCCGAAAGGAAGGGGGTAGTCGAGGACAGACCTCCAGGTGCACATCAATGATGGACGCCACGCGTCGTATACTCCTAGAGGTGGGGCCCGAGCTGTGCTGCTCCAGTCGAAGACCCCCCCCAAAGTGGGGGATCGCGGTCGCCGTAGATCCCTCGTCAGAGTGGGGCCCAAAGGTTTGTCATCATCCCTGGGTGCGTGGCTGAAGTGTGATTCTGCGGCGCGAAGCCAACGTGATGCGGTGCGCTGTTGTCGTCGTCGTCCTCGCCCGCGACCGGCCTTCGACCCACCCGCGCCCCCTCACTCTCAACCGCAACTGCGGGGACTGGGTCATTCCCTGGGGGAGCCAAAAGGTAAACCGATACCGCTGCTCCCCGGACCTCTCCTGGGGTGCGTTCTGACCAACATTTCGGGGCGAATCCGGCGGTGGTGACGAGGGCCTCCCACGAGGCCAAGTGAGGGGGGAATCGGGCGGCGGGCAGCGAAATGGGGTGGTAGGGGTCCCCCTTTTTCTGATCCTCCCCTAGTCTCTCTCCTGGGAATGTGCACAGCCTGGGAGCGACCGCGCATTCCCAGGGACCTGGCACCGACGAACTCTCGCAAGGCACTCTCGCCAGCTCTGGCACCCAGCTGACGGGGCTCCCTGCCGGACAGCCAGGGCTCGCCGGCGGCTCGATCCCCTCCAGCGGACGCAGCTGCGCCGCCAAGGGTCCCCAGAGCCCCCCCCTCCCCCCCCGAGGAGCGTGTGCGCCCTTTGTGGGCTCCCCACCCTGGGCTTCCTCACAAGCGTTGGGGGGGTACACCTCAGGCGATGCTTACGAAAACTTAAGTTTTCGGCCAGAGTCTCGATTATTCTTAACGTTTCAATGTGCATCTTAAGATCTTGATAGACATATTGGGCTTTTGTTCAAGTTCTGAGACTATGAATTTCTTAACCCATGATTTCTTAAGCATTTCGCAGGGTGTACCCCCCGACGGGGGTCCACCTCGCCTCGTCGTCGCGCCGCGACGGGCGTCGGGGCGCATTCGCGGCGCGCGGCGGCTGCCCCGCGCAGGAGGACGCCGCGCAGGAGGAGGCCGCGCGCGCCCTGCAGCAGCTCTGCCAGGGCGACGCCGCGGAGGCGCTCGCCCGGCTGGCGCGGCGCGGCCGCGCCGCGCCCGCGCCCCGCGGCGGGGACTGCAGGCCGAGGGGCGCGGGCCGCCGCACGGCGAGTTGAGCGGCGCGGGGTGGGGACTGGCCGGGCGGGGCTGCGCGGCCACCCCATCGGGGGCTATGGGGGGCGGGTCCTCGATGATCCTCCTCACTTCCTCCTTCTCCTCCTCCTCCTACACTCTCCCCTCCTCCTCATACTCCTCCTCCCTTCTCCGCCAACTCCCCCTCTCCTCCCTCCTTCGCCTCTCTCCGCCCTCCTCCTCCCTCCATCCCTCCCTCCTCCCTCCCTCCCTTGTCCGCTTCTCCTTCCTCGTCCTACTATCCTCATCCTCCTCCTTTCTCTCCTCCTCCTTTTTCTCTTCCGCCTCCTCCTCCTCCTCCTCCTTCTCCTCCTCCTCCTCCTCCTCCTCCCCTTCCTCCTCCCCCTTCTCCTCCTCCGGGCTCAAGGTGCGGGGGTCAACGCAGACGGGGGTCAGGCAGAGCGCCGGATCTTGCAGTCGGCGGCGAACTCCGAGGTTCGAACTCCGAGCTTCGAGGTTCGAGGCGGTTTTCCATTGGTTTCGGCCCTGGGGGGCCCTTTCTGGGCCCCGGGACCCCCGAAACTCCATCCAGGGTGAAACACCGCGTCGGATGGACCCGGGAGGTGTCCGGGGACCGATTTTGACCGATGTTCGGCGGCGCGCCCCGCGGGGGGAAAGTGAGCAGGGAAAGGCTTTCCCAGAAGGCTCGGAAGTCCCCCCTGGCCCTCTGAGAAGTTGTTGGAGCCTTCCCCAGAGACAGGACACATTTCAGAAGGCGCGAGGGCTTCTGAGAAGTCCCGCCGCCTTCTGAGAAGGCCTTCTCCTTCTCACTTCCCCCCCTCGTTCGCCGCCGACGCAGGTTCCAGCAGTGCCAGGAGTGCATTGACCTGGGCTTGGGTGCAGGATCCTGCAAGATCCTGCAAGGCCCTACTGGCCTGGATCTGGATTGGCCCTGGTCAGTATGTCCCCGATTTCCTCCCGCGAACGATCGGCGGCGATCTCGGAGGCGACGATAGTCGATAGTCAGAGGAGGACCCAGACTCCCTCGAGTAATTAGACAGTCATGACCAGAGGGTTCGTGCGGTTTTGTATATGTATATTTGTGTATATCATTATCATTATATACATCCGCCTCATGCGGCCCCCTCCGGAACTCGGGACCGCCAACAACCGACCTGGAATGATAAACCAACCCACGGGGGATTCACGCCATGAACAAAGTATGACGTTGGCTGGATGAGAACAGGGTGCCCATGCTGGTATCCTCTCCTCGTTTTCGCCTCGTTGGGCCTCTGGGGAGGCCCTCGTCACCACTGCTGGGTTCGCCTCGGAATTCTGGTCAGAACGCACCCGTTCAAGGGTCCGGACCGTCAGAAAGACGACTCGGCCCTCGGGGGATCGAGACCTTTGGGGGTCGACGTCATGACAAGATCAGGACACATGGGGTCTGGGAGTAACGCATGGGCGGACATTATGCGTATTCGCCCGGGAGCCTCGGGGAAGGCACAGACCATCGGTGTTCCTGGATACATGTATTGCCCTCCCCTGGGCCATTCGCCCCTATCGTCGCCCCCTACGATCGTACGCATCCATAGGGGGGACCAGACAAAGACATGGAGGTACACTCGGAGTGCTCGGATCGGCGCTGGGTCCCCCCAGCGGCGCCTCCGGCGCCGCCCGTGGCGCGCTCAGCCGGCCATGGAGGAGGGTCCAGCACCGATCCGAGGAATCCGCGCGGACATCCGATTTCTTATTTCATGTCAGCTTGCTCCCCTACGGATCTGGCCGGGGACCCCGGGGAAGGGGCAGGCGGTTCGTGATCGGGACCCGAAGCCCAACACGTTGACAAGAGTCGCTAAACCGAGTCTGCCGCAGCTGGAGCCTCTCCGGGTGGCGGCCGTTCTGGTTAGTAGAATGGGGCGGGAGGGGTGTGGGGGGCGGCGCCCTCCAGCACACGTCACTACACCAGGTGGCACCAAACCCAGCCCCGGCAACGCCCGGGCCTTCCCTGCGCGGACGATTGGCGGGGAGCCCGGGGGGAAGCGGCAGGATCAGGAGCGACAAAAGGACGTACACGTACATGAATCCACGCTGGTTTCGAGAGCACGCATTGCGCAAATGTTCGTATAACGCGGCTGGTCTCGCGGATCGAGGGGCCGTGTTCATGTACATAGCTGGGCGCGTACGTCCTTTGTGGGCTCCCTAGCAGGAAGCAGGCCTTCTGTCACCGAGCGCTGCCCACTACTCGCAGAGTGCCTAATTACTCGCAAACGTCAGACAGACCCATGCCTGCCCCGATGTATAATTCGTCGCAGATCGTGGATCCCCCGCGGCGGATCCAGGCCATCTGCGAGCAGTCACCTTGCGAGTAGTGGAACGCGCTCGTCTATTCTGGCCCCCTGGTTCACCACCCACCAAACCACCCCAACCCAACCCGAAGGCTCAGATTTACCCTCGATTTCCAGTGGGGGGGGGGGGTCGGGAAACATCGGAAAAACACATGTGGAACCTTTACCCCCCCCCCAACCCGAAATTCGGGTCTTCGGGTTGGGTTGGGGTGGTCTGGTAGGTAGTCACTGGTAGGCTTCCGAGGCCTTCTCCGAAGGCGCTCGGCGGCTTCTCGGGAGGCCAGGCGGCGTCGCGGGGAGCCCCGCCGCTGGCGGAGAAGGCTGGCCCCCTGCCGCTGCCCCCCAGTGCTCGCCGCGGGGGCGACCCGAGTGCACCGTGCCGCGCTGGCGTCCCCCGGGGGCTCCCTGCAGGGCTCGTTTCGAGTCCTCTCGTTCGATTCGATTCGACTTCGATGGATTCCGATTCCGCTTCGATCCGATTTCGGATTCCGATTTGGGCTCCGATTTTTTTTATTTGACGGTTATGCTAGCCTGCCGATTTCCGCCGATTCGACTTTTCCCGTCTCTGCTGCCGATTTCCGCCGATCCGGCTTATTTCGATCGCCGATGCGACTTATCGATTCGATTCTGGGCTCCTCTGTCCCTGTGGGTTCTCGACCAAGGAAAGGCACGTTGCGTATCTTCTCGGCCCGCGGTGTCGACGAACTATAAGCTTAAGTCGGGCCTGTCCCCCTACAGAGGGATTTTCGACGACAAATGAAAAATACCTCCAAAAATGCCCCCAAACGGTCAACACATGCTCAAAAAATAGTCCCCACATTTTTTTCTGAGTATGTTTTGATTCTTTTCTTGGGTATTTTTTATTTTTCGTCGAAAATCCCCCTGTAGGGGGACACGCCCGACTTAACTATAAGCCGTGCTGCGCTGGAGCATGCCGGGAGGGGAGTCCTTCGGCAGCAGGTCACGGGAGCCCTGCGCGTCCTCGCAGCTCCTTCTTCCGAGGGCCTTCGCGCGCGCTGGCGTCTGGATGGGAGAGCGCCGATTCGGCATCGGCTGGCGCCATGTGTAGCGTCGATGCAGCGCCGATTCGCAAGAGCCAGCAAGGTTTTTTACCGGGGATCCCGTGAGTTTGGGGGTGCATGCGCGCCGTTGTCGCATTCCCTGGCGCTGTTCGTCCCACCTGGGTGGGCCTCTCGCGAGCTCCCGTCGCCTCGGCTGGAGCCGCCTCGAGGTACTGGTCAGGGTGGGCCCCCCTCGAAGAGCGGTGGGTTCCCGGAGGGGGCACCGCTTATGAGTGGGCTCGGGCCGGGCGTGAGCCGATGACAGTGGGCACGCACATCAAGACACCTTCTGCCTTTCGTCAGGGTACCTCGGGCTTCTCCGCTCCTCTGCGCGATGCCTCCCGCGGCCGTCAGAGGAGCCGCTGCGCTCGGGGTGCTCCGGGGTTCCCCCCAGGTGCACCTCGCTCGCGCGCGGGTTTTCACGGTCGCGACCGTGCCCTCGCTGCACACGTAGGAGTGACCTTTCGCCGGAGCGTCCTTGGGGGCGGGCCCAATGGGATCCTCCGATCGCCGAGCGCGGTGCGACAGTAGAGCGCCTTGCGCGCTGGTATCTGGCCCCCCCGCGGCCCCCAAAGAGCCGCCCGCCGAAGGTCACACTCTTGCCCAGGGTCCAGTCCTCGCGCGCAGCCGAGGGATCACTAAGTCATAACAGATGCCCAATCCCAAAAACGCGAGGGCCAAGACAAAATGCAGGCTCCTCGAGACTTCGGGGAGGGAGATCTTGGAGTAGGGTTTTACCAGGGCGACGACGACCAACGCAAAACATACCCCGAAATCTTTGGCCGATCTTCGAATCCTCGGTGAATCCGCGATTTTGGGATTGGGGATGTGTTTTTTCTTGGTCAAGGGAGGACCGCCGCTGTCTCGATCGGCCCTCCTCCGAGAGCAGCCCACCCTGGCGGACGTGATGGCGGAGCTCGGCAGGCTCCGCAGCGAGGTGGCCGACCTCTCGCAGCGCCAGCAGCGGCCGGAGGAGCTGACCTAACGAGCCGGGGGAACATGAGGCTCGAGTCAACCAGAACTCGGGTCTGCCAGCGTTTCCTGACGAGCGCGTCCTGGATTCCTGGGCGATCCGTTTTTTTCGCGGGATGCCTGCGGCGGGACCTCGCGCCAGATTTCAGACTGGGCCTCGTCAGTCTCAGGATGGCCCCCGCCAGGCCACCCCGAGTCCCCCGTACCCGACTCTGACGTCTCCCCGAGAAAGATGCCCATACCTCTACCCTTCCCCGATCGGAGGAGGGAGGAGGGAGGAGGGAGGAGGGAGGAGGGAAGGAGGGGGGAGGAGGAGGAGGGAGGAGGGAGGAGGAGGAGGAGGGGAGGAGGGAGGTGAGGGAGGAGGGAGGAGGGAGGAGGATGGAGGAGGATGGAGGAGGAGGAGGAGGAGGAGGAGGAGGAGGAGGAGGAGGAGATAGAGGAGGAGGAGGAGGGGAGGAGGAGGGAGGGAGGAGGAGGAGGAGGAGGAGGAGGAGGGAGGAGGAGGAGGAGAGAGGAGGAGGAGGAGTGAGGAGGAGGAGGAGGAGAGAGAGAAGGAGGAGGAGGAGGAGAGAGGAGGAG